GGGAAAGAGATGAGGTGAGGGAGGCCAGGATTTCCTTCTCTTTCTCCCTGCAGAGATCAAGCTTGAAGGGTGTCCTATGAACAGGAGCTGCACAATATGCTCCTCAGGAGAAGTTGAATCAATTCTGCATTTCCAGACTCCAAGTTTCCAGAGTTCTGAGTTTCTGGGTAGCCTTGAGGTTTTCACCAAACTTCAGTTTAGGAAATATGACTTAATTTGGGAAAAACACCTGGGATTCAAACTGGAATCCAAGTAGTACTTTGCACAAAGCCTCCAACTTTGAAGTCAAAATTTTGAACCCAACAAATTCTTAAATTATTGGCACATTTAGAATCAAAAGTTGTGGCTTCATCAACACTCAAAAGTATAGTCATGCAGACTGAGGACAATATGGTCCGGAAAGAGGAAAGTGACTTATCTTTCTTCTAGGACTTGCACTTATATATCTTTTAAGGAGGGAAGGTTAAGAACAAGTATTATGGGATACAATAAAACCTCATGAAACCTAAAATTGGGCAACAGGGAGAAACACAAACCATAGTAATTTAAGGACTAAACGTTTGGCTTCAGTATCAGCAAGTTCCAGCTGCCAAGCGCTTTGAGGAAGAGGAGTGGTGGTATCCAATTTAATTTACAAAGCAAATAGATGTGCACCATTTAAGAACACCGAAAATTAGGGACTTTAATAGCTTTTTCTAGTTGACTATTTTCAGACCACTTCTACTCCGAGCAATCAAGTTAGTTCTGTTCCCAGATGATTGAGAACAATAATTTCTCTTTATGAGTAAAATTTTGATAATTACAAGATACATTTTCATCAAGAACATAAATCATGCAGCATTGCCACGTGTCCATACTCTGGAAACAGCCCAAACACCATCACAGGCACTGAGGAACTATTCCAGGCTCCTTTGTTTCCTGGCCATGCAGATCTCACAGAAAAGTGAAGGATGCCCCTACAGAAAAAGGTTGCTCAGACTTTGAGACCTGATCCGAAGTTCACACATGCCAGAAAGACTGAGCTTTGACTCCCTTTGCACCTTGCCTGCATGTTCCTGGAGAAAGTGGCAGGCCTTGGGACGGCCAGCACAGTGACTCAGCCCTTGGGCTCTGGAATAGTCTCCAATCTTAGGGGATACCTTGACCCCTAGAATGAAGGGTAAGTCTTTGTTCTTACAATTTATCTAATTGCTCACGCACCCTGGCGCTGCCCCCTATGCCATTTCTCAGCAAGAGGAGAGAGTTCCTAAGGCCCTACTTAGAGCTTCCCACTGTCCATTAGTAAAGGCACTGAAATATTTCCCCATCAAAAGGAAAATAAAGTGAAAATGAGTAAACACAGTGACATCTCAGTTTTCTCTGCACCAACAGAATTAAGGATGAAACCAAATGCATTTCACAGCTCTGGAGTTTATTCTACAGCCGCTCCATACTCCACAAGGTTTACTCATGCTCCAGGCAAACTCACTGAGTTCTTCTATGGCAAGACTTAAAACTGTT